CAAGTTTCATTAATAGCGCAAGTTTGATTCTACTTGACATGTTGAGCTGATCAATTTTAATTTGAATTTCATGTCTTGTGATTGCAAAAGCTCTAGAAATTCAGATCGATTTTAAAACTCACCAGAAAACTAAAATTACAAATGTTTAGTGTTAAACAAATGGATAAACTTGATAGTGGAAAACTTCTTCGATGCTAAATATTGGCTCTTCATTCAATCAAAATCAAAATATTTTCAAGTCAAATAAGTTTTTGTAAAGAACTGCATCAATGATTTGAATGGATTTTAAAGAAAAGGCGAAATTTTTAAATGTCCTTTGGTTTTATTTGTTAGTTTCGATTTTATCCTCGAGTCTATACAATTCTAGTATTCGATGCATTTATTGTCAAATTATAAAAGACAGTTTATTTTTCGTTACAATTACAATAGCCTGATGAGCTAATTAACAGTCTTTACAGACGGTTTTGATGGTAAGCTTTGCCTTCGAGTGATTGAGTGAAGTTAATGATGATTTGAAAGAATTAGCTTAATCCTTGAATCCTTTTTTTACTGAATCGAGAGGACAGAGTCTGAGTAGCTGAGTGCTTTTGGCTGATCTTTGACTTGTTCAATGGATCAATTTGTCCATGCATCTCGGGAATTGTTCAATCTTTGGAAAATTGAATCAATAAGCATCATGATAGTGCTCGATGAAACTAGAACAGTCAGCAAAAATGGAAAGCCTTTATTTGAATAAAGTTATCTCTATTTTTCCGTTTGCACGAAAAAATGTAAGATTTTATTTTTCTCGAACACAATCTGGTTAGTTGTGAGTCGATTTTGACCTTTCTGGAAGAAAGCAGAAGTTCTTTGAATAATTTAGAATGTTCTGTTTATATATTAAAAAAGAAATGTTAAGAACTCGAAAGCTAAGGTTGATATTTTTTGTCACTTTGTTTATCCTTTACTTTTATTTTTTGTTACCGAATTTTTTATTCTTTCATCAAATTTCCACTTTGCTTCCAAGTTAATTGCAAAGATTGAGTAGAGAAGGTTAATGCTTTCATTCTCGGTGAATCTAATCACCAGGGATTTGCATAATTAGAACACATGTTTTTATATTTTTCGAGATTCAATTCCACTTCTGTTGCATCAAAACTCATGCATGTTTAGTTTCATTGTGTCAAGTTTCAATCAACCAAAGTCACCTTTCACCATAAAAACCTAAAGTTCTAACATGAAATTGAGAATTTGAATTTCGTTGAAATATCAAAATATACAGAAAGAACAAAAAGAAGCAGAAACTATTCACAAACTGTATCGTTTCTCATTCTGTCTCAAGAGTTGAATTTCCCATTGAAATCTTGAATCTTGGCTGAACCTTCAAAGGTAACCAACAAGCTAATGAGTTAATTTCGTCTTTGCTCAGTTTTTCTCGAATCTTGTCTCATGAAAAATGAAACTTGTCAAGTTAATTTATTCATCAATGAATTTCCTTTAAATATGAATTGGCAAACAGTGTTGCAATTTTTGTGCTCAACCAAAGATCCTAAACTGAGTAACCATTATTCAATGGAAAAGCATGACAACTCATAACATGCATTTGAATAATAATGAAAAAAAACAAGTGATATCTCAGTAATCATTGAACCATTTGACATTCAATTTTCTTAGATTGTATTCAACGATATTCAAAGTTGACAAAAAATGCGACTAATGATCTTATAATTCAAATGTTTGCCATCAATCAAAAGTCAAAATAACGAGTTAATTACTTTTTTGAACCAATTTAACGTCTAAAAGTTTCTGGTGAAAGTCAATTCTGAAATGAACTTGAATCAAAGGCGAGACAAGTTTCAGTGTGAAACCACTTTTTGTATTTCACTAAATTTAATACTTTTGCGTCATTGTCAGTCTTGATTCTTGATCAAACTTAAAACACTGAAACCTTAGAGTTGCATTGAAATGGTTATTAGACAAAAGGTAATAACTTGAATGGTTTCATTACAATGAAAATAAATTTGATCCAATTTTTCGAGTTGACAAAATTCAAATTGCGACTTTGATTTGGATAAATACAAAGTCAATGAATATTCAACTCTCAAAGGGTCAAGCTGGATGTTGCAGAATTTTACGGCATTTTCATCATTAATTCCTCTCACATGGAGTCAATTATTATCATGGGAATTTGAGAGACAAAACTTTCATCTTTATCTTTCGAGTGTTGACTTGGAATTTTTATCGAGTTGTTATGATAAATTTTTTCCTCTCATTGTTTAATGGTGAGTCGATGAATTGAATGAAAAGGGAAAATTATTTTTTTGATTTTTCGATTTATAAAATTTTTGAGTCGATAGCATTTGAAATTGAAATGCGTTTAAAGCTTTCGAGTGTTCATTATGATTGCTGAAATGATCATCATTACCATTATTGACAGAGAAGATATTATCATTTTCATTCCCTGAAGGATAAAACAATGGTAGCTTTTTGTTACCATAATAATGAAGTACAGAAACTGGAGGTTACAAAAAGAAGAGGTTTACCAATTAATTGATTTCATGATTAGTTTCATTAAGCTTATCTTTTGTTTTCTTTTTCTGGTGACAATCAAAAGATAAACAATCATGAGTTTGCTCCAGCATTTAGGAATCATTGATTTTTGCAACCAAAACATTCAGAATGCATCAACAACGTGAAGCAGCTTTCATGAGTTCGACGAGTCATTTAAGCATTTGCAGATGAATGAGCTTTCAGAAAAGCAAAATCTTTTCAGAATAAGTCTTTTCCATGGCATATTTCATTCAAAGAAAAGAGTTAAATAAGTTCAAAAGAAATTAAAAATTCTCCAAAAACAGACTTCCAATTCTTAATGTTCTTCTCTAATTGTAAGAACTAATGGCGTTAAAAATTCTCATGACTGTGTTTCAAGTCCATTGCCAGTGAACCTCTCAACTAAGCTTAATAGTTCTGTTGATGTTTCACCTTGACTTGAATATGATTCTGAATGTAATTCTATGATAATTCGGTGAAAGACCAAACCACTATTCTGAGTCTATTATTTACAAGGAATGCACATTTGTTTCTCTCCCTTGGGTTGAGTTGATAAGTACAATTCATTGTTGCTCTTTTGGTTACCATAAAGGTTTACTGTTTCATCTCAATACCTTTTAATCACATGAACCGGTGCAAATCTTCAGAGAATCAATTGCCTTGCCTGAATATCACTCAATTGGCAAAAGGTATTCATCAAAGTTGCTGCGGTTTAAAAGCTTACAGTTTAATGTAAACCATTCCCATCAACTAGCAGTTGATGTTAAGCTTTGTTCATCTGATACAATTTTATTAAACTAAACTACAAATGAATTGATACAGAAAAACAGAAGACAAGAAAAAACTGGAATTGTTTGTCCTGGTTAAACTCTTGTTTACTCTTCTCGTTTTGGAAAAGTGTTAACAGTTAATTTGTATTGTCATCATTTGACATGTTTCCTCATCATGATCACATGTTATGGGTGGACAACATGAGCATAATTCACAACACACAAAATCGAAAGGTCAAGAAGAAAGCATTGAGTAACAAAAGGCTAACAAGTTGAACAATCGTTTCAACACTGATTTTCTGTCTAATCACATCAATTCTGCTCACAATCTATTAATTATAACTCATTAGGCCAGTCAATCAGTAGATTTAATTATCTCCTTTTGTTGAACAAGTTCAAGTTAAAGAAAAAAATCTCACAAATAACAATAAACCGAAAACCTGTAAACACAATTTAAGTGTGATTCTGATCTGAATAAAACATGACCTTTGGACAAGTTCAAAATGCAAAAAAAAATCAATTGACAAACGCAATGAAAATTGATTGAATTTCAGGATAAAGAAGGTGAGAAATAAGGAAACCTTGACAAGACCAACTCCAAACAATCGCATTGACTTGCATTAAAATCACAGCCCTGAAGAGTTGAGAGAAAAAGAAACTTTGATGAAAATTTCGTCGATAAACAAACTAACAACGAAGAAAATAATTCATTAAAAAGTTGAAGATGCAACTTGAAGAAACTCGAAAAACGAAAAAATCGAATCAATTGAACACTTTTCATTTCACTTTCCAGGTAAACATGATTATTCGAGATTCAGTTTAACTCTTTCACAGCTTGTTTCAATATACAACATTATCCTTTTGAAGCAAGAAAAGCATGTAAAATGCATTTCTCGCCAATGAACTTGAATTCGTTGGAAAAAGGAAAATTTTACAAAATTGGAAAAGAAGAAGAGATTCAAAAAGTTCTTTTATGGAAAACTCGAAAAAAAATGTTTCTCAGTTTTCATCTTATATCCATTATAATCACCTTGAGCATCTTTTTCATTTTCATCGTTTTTTCTCCGAAAAAGAAGTCTCAACTTATTACTTCTTTTTCCAAGTCAACAATGGAAATGGTCAGATGAAGTTATACTTCATAATGCGATACAAAATGCAATCAATTTGCTTGGCTAGTCATTTGCATTAAAAGCCGAGAAATAAAAGTGTAACAATGATAATCGCTTTTCCAACAAATGATTATTGCAATGACACTTTGCTGGTTCCTCTTAAACTTCAATAAAGAGAGCGATGTAATTGACCATAATGGACAGATGATGGTCAACATTGTTAAAGTTATTGCATTACGGAAGTAATTTTATTCACAGACGAAACGATAATATCCATTGTTGCTAAACATTTACATTATTATCAAGTTCACTTTGGAGATGTTTAACTTGGCAAAAAGGGACTTTTCAATTAACCATTATTGCAATGAATTTGATGAAAATTTTGATGTATTTTGTTTGCTAATTGATTGGGTGAATCGACAATTAAAGAGATGAAATTGTTCTTTTAATCGTTTTTTCCTTTTTAATCATGAATAATGATTTATATTAATTTCTTTTGTGTCATATAATATGGAGAATAATGAAAGGGAAAAAGGTTTCAATTTGTTTCTCGTCAGAATTGATTCTAATTTGTATTCTTTGTCTTTTCCAGTTCTTTTATCGTTAACCATGGGATTAATGTTATTGATGGGAACTTTAACCGTTCACATAACTAAATATTTACCCGATGGAGCTGATTGGTGGATTGAATTAATTGTTAGCGGATTATTTACTCTCATTGTAATCCTGGTAATTCTCATTGTTCGTCAACCCAAACACCGGTCAACCTCACGAAACAGCATTCCCTGTGTACCTTTATTACCAATATGTGCCATTTGGATGGATATTCATTTGATCATTTGTCTTCCGAGTTCCTCTTGGATTGCATTCTTAATCTGGTCACTCATAGGTAATTCATTAATTTACATTATTCCAAATGCATTTTGATACTCACGTTCCTAATTACAAATTCAATTGGTCTGAAAACTTTTTGGTAAACAATCAAATTGCTATTAAAAAGAGTGCGATTTTTATTGGTAAATCTGATGGTTTCAAACTCTTAGCTAGTTTGGGTTGAGTTTAGTGCTTTCTGCATGAATCTTGAGAGAATCTTAAGTGACTTGAACAACCTTCCTCGATAGATCAGATCTGAGATCTTTTCTTGAATAGCCTTCTTAGATGGTCAATTGAATTGATTCCGCCGGGCTCATAATTCTTGCGACCTTCTTCGATAGTTTGTTCTAACTTTCATTGAAACAACAGTCGACAGTTTTATCATTTGCTCCAGATGCTTCATCTTATGATGGCTTTAACTTAGCGTCAATTTTAATGGAAATTCAACTTTTTTCTTTCTTGTAACTTTGAAATTAAATTGCTAATGTAATACATTGTGAAATCAATTGTATAACATTTTGTCATTTGTTCACTGTTTGTTCAACAGCTTCATGTGCAAGAATCAGAAATGATGATTAAAAGAAGCGAGAAAAAAACATGAAATTTTCTGGATTTTAGCTCATTTCAAACCAATAAGTTGTAGCTTGTCAAACGAGCTGTTACAGTTGATCAAAAGCCATTTTAAAGTAAAACTGATTTTTTTCGAGTCAACCTTTTTTTCGTCGTAAAAGATATCAAACCAAGCAGCATTGACTAGTGAAACAATTAAGTTTATCAACACATTTGAAAAGTTATTAAAGAGAAGGCAAACTCGAAAGGAATTTTTCTTTTCTCTTTATTGATGTTTCTACTTGTTTAACAACAAAAAAAGGTTTTCATCAATCGTACAAAGAAAGAGCAGAAGAAATGAAAAAAATCATTAACAGCAAAAAAAGCGTTTCAAGTTCACAACATTTGTTATTTGTTCAATTCTTTCAAAGTTCAACTCGAAACTTTTTTCCATTAAATATTGAACTTTCATTGAATACCATTAAACCATGCTAATCAACCCGCTAATGTATTAATGATATTAATGTTGGCTTATGGTTAGACAAGGTGTGGACAGTTGTGAAAAGTGAAGTGAATTTCATTTCCAATCAATGGATTGTAAAAAAAAGAGATTCAGGGAAAAGGAAAAGAATAAGCTCAAGTTTCCTTCATCTTTTTATTTTCTGATGGAAAAGAAATGTTTACAGGAAAAAGACTTAACTATCATCGTCATGATGATTAGGAGAGAGAAAAAAAGACTAATCTTGTTCATCTCTTCCATCATCTTGACCAATGTTTACCAGTGTCAATGTTGACCCAAGCACAGATGATGATCAACCATGATGACGGGCAACATTTCAATATAACAGCAACTTTAATTAATATTGATTTAATCCCAGTAAACATTGAATTTCACTCAAATATTGGATTGCAAAATAAGAGTAGATTTAAGGGTTTTTCATCTTTGACTGTTTAGTATCAATAAACGACCATTTAGCAAACCTGAAAGGACAACATTCCAAGTACTTTATTGACACATTAAAGTCATTAAAATCATCATTAAATTGAATTCGAGTGCAATGAAAATTGCAAATGCAAGTTAACCTTTAAAGCCTTTTCGATTAAAATTCAAAGTCGACCAATAAAATGATCATCAATGCATTTGAATGAAGAAAAAGTTTGTAAAAGTCTTTCGAGTTTTGAAAAATTCCGAAAAATTGAATTTTTTCAACCTTTTCTCTTTTTCGTTTGAAACATTCTTATGCTTACAAGCGTGACTGGAATAAACTCAGTCAGTGTTTTTGTTTTACCAACTAATCATATTCACTACACAATTTAATTCGAGTTGGACTGTGATTTCATTTCAATTGTTTCATGAATAACAATTTTATTATCTGAGAGAAAAAATTCAATTACTAAACAGCTCAACATCCTAAAGGCAAAACATTGAAAATTGTCTGCAAAGTGAAATATTTGATGAAAAAGGAAAACATATTTTCAATCATTCTCAATGAGAAAACTTGAAAAATGCAAATTTAATAATCGATAAACATTGGAATAATGCAATTAAACGTTTCAAAGAAAAGGTTATTCTGGGAAAGAAAATAAAAATGCAAACAGAGAACTATTTTATTCATGATAAACCAATGATTCCATTGAGAGTTATCATTATCAGAGTTTTGTTATTGAATAAATTATTGAATCAAGTTTAAGAGTAAAATCTCAAGCGAGTCTTCAATGAACTCGACTTTTGATTAACTCGTAAAGGTGATGATTGCTATTAAATGGTAAAGAGAACAGAATTATCGATAATCAATTTTATCGATTTCAGCAAAATGAATTAAAAGTTTTTCGAAAAGAATATTTTAAAACTTTTTTTCTCAATTTTTTATTGCAAGAATGTTTTTGGTGGAGAGAAAGATTTTTTTATGCGTTTTTTTTCTTTCGATTTCTGATTTAAAATGAATTTTACAAAAATTCTTATTCTGATCACAGAAGAATCACTGATGAGTCAATGAAAGGTATGGCCATGATAATGATAATGTGTCGAACTTTTCTTCAGATTTCATTTCGTAAATTATCATTTCACTTTTTTTTCTTTTTCTTCGTTTTCATGATAATCCAAATTGATGCTTTTCAGATATCATTTGAACGATCGATCAATGAAACTTGTCTAGAGTTATCATTTCACCATAAAAGTAATGTTGACACGCAAAAGAATCATTATTTATGTTAAACTTGAGAGAAATTTTTTCATCTTCAATTTTGACTTTTCAACTGACCATCCAGGTTCGTACCTTTTACATGATTCACTCATCACGTCGATTACTTTTAACATTTGCAACTTCATCCAAGTTTTGTCTTCAACTTTAATCGAGAAATTGTTTCGATCCAACTTATTATTTCCATAAAACACAATCTTCTAATGTTGCCTGAAAAAATTTGTTTCGATGCAAAAGGTTTTTTCTTGAGAAGTTTTCTTCCAAATTTTGACATTCATCTTGAAATTTTATTCAATTTTCAATTCAAGACTTTTAGTAATGCGGTCTTAATGGCAAAAAGGTTCATTGATGTGCCATTTGAAAGCTATTTAAATCTTTGCAGAGTCACTCGAGTTTAATGAATGATTGCATGACACTTGCTTTTGATGAAATTTTAAATTTTGTAGATTCTCTAATTGGTGTAGAAAATAAATTGAAAAGGTTTTCACTTTACTCTCATGTTAACCTTTTCATGATGTAAAATTAATTTACATAAATGTTGGCATAATAATTGGTTTATCGATTGTGGTCCCAATATTGGTTAATGGTTAATAACATTTTATCACGATATTATTACCATTATCATTATGTGATGAGTATAATGATTATATTGCATGAGTTGAAACTCTCTTGTATTGTTGGCTGAATATCAATGAAAATGATTTCGAGCCAGTTTTCGATTCTTTCCAATATCCATTTATAGCTGTTGAACTTGCTTCTATGGGTTTGACTGTGCTCATTATCATGGTGAACCAGTTGACTTTGATTTTTGTTTCACATTGTTGACCAATTGAAGGTGTAAAGCATATTTAATCTGGAACAAGGAATCGTTAATATGGACCATTTTCTTATCGATTAAATTAAATCCTTTCTTTCGTTTCTTCCAGGAATCTTTGTTTACTTGAGTTACAGTGTTTGGTACAGCCATGAAGGGGATTCAGATGAAGCGGACAAATCTCAAGAGCAGCTTAACCTAAATGTATCATTGGACGAAGAAAACGATGAGATTATTCATTGCCTGGAAAACTTTACCGATGGATCATCTGTTTAATTGAACATCTAATTGTCTAATCTATTTATTATATTGTAAATAGCGCCATACCTTGTAATAATGAACGGGATAAATATTAAAGAGATTATATCAAAGTTATCACAATCCATGAACCATTTGTCCGTATTTCTGAAAGATATTGAATTAGCAGAAACAAATAAGTAAACGATACTCACATTGAACGAGGATAAGTCTGTAAATAATATTATCGATTAGTCAATATTGAAATATTACCTTTGATCATTGGTCAAGCAATTCAGAAAAATAAGATTTTTTATCAAAAAGATTCACCATTTCGCATAACATTGATCTGGCTTCAGGATAAAAACAAAAGTCCTGATTTTTTTACTCTTTTTTCAATGTTGATTGAAGCAGAAAGATATTGAAAAGTCAGAAAGTCATTAGAAAATTAACTCAGTAGTAATTGAATGGAAACTGAAGCTGATTAAAAGCATAAATAAACCGTTAAAGAATTGAATATATTTTCTTTTTGGTCACTACAGATGTCGCTACTTTATGATGCACTTGATTTACCTACAAACCTGTCTACATCTAGTGCTGAATGAAGCAAGTTTGTAAGTTTAACCGAGAGTAAGGTGACGGTGTCACTACCGTCAATGAATCTGTTTGTTAGTGTTATGTTACAAAATTGTGTCAGGTTTTTTTTCCTCATTTTTATTAACTCAATAGAAAGTCTAAATGAAGTTGTTAAATCTAAATTGCTGTGAAATATGGATATTTTGTTTATTAGTTGAACTTGTATCATCTTTGAAAGTTGATTATGGCCAAGATGAAGTGAGGATTAAAGAAGGTGAATCGACCATCATCAACTTTACTCTTACAGACAAGATCCATCAAACCATTGCCGATGGACATCTTTATTATCAATTAAAAATTTCATCACCTCGTGTTGCTGATATCGGAGGAGATGGTAATTCCAAATTGTTGCGACTAGATAAAGCTTTTCTTCATCCAGATAAAAATGGAATGTTCAATTTTTCTGGTTCTGTTGACATTATGGGTAAACTATTAGGTCACACTAATCTATTTTTAGAATATGTTAACCCAAACGAAACTCACCACATCAATGGACAGTCAAGCGCGCTACGGGATAATCCTCCGTGCGCTTATAAAGAAGAGCTGTTGCCTGCATCTGCAGACTTACTAATTGCTGGCAATGGACATAAAGAGGGTGAAAAGAGTACCAATCGATTAACCATTTTGGTTTCACTTAAACATAGTCGCTTGGAAAAGATATTTACCCTTTCAGTGGTCTCGTTGGTTTTGCTAAATTTCATCAACATGGGATGTGCTATAGATTTGTTTGTTATCAAAAGTGTACTTAAAAAACCGATTGCTCCTTTGATTGGGCTGATATCACAATATGTTGTTATGCCTTTGGTAAGCTTGAAGTCTTCCACTTATCTTTGCCCTTCAATCATTCTTATTAATTACTGTTATAAACAAATTTTTTCAGACATCATATTGTGTCGGATATTTTCTATTGAATGGCGATGCGTATTACTATTGGTTTGGCTTATTTGCTTTCGGAATTTCGCCAGGAGGAAATGCATCCAACATGTGGACTCTTTTACTTGGTGGCAATCTCAATCTCAGTTTAACCATGACTTTCATTAGCACCTTTTGCGCCTTATGTAAGCATCGAATCTGCAGCTTAACAATAGCTTCGTTTTTGATGAATTTGTTTGGTATGGTTTTTAATTCTTCCTGTTTTTTTGTTTCAGTTATGATTCCTTTATGGCTATTCACATTAGGTGCTCGCATTCAAGGTCCAAGTACTTTCACTGTCCCATATATTCGTATTTTCGAATCATTGTTGGCAATGGCCTTCTTCTTAGGAATTGGTCTCCTTTTCCAAAAATATTTGCCCAAAGTGTCCAGAGTAAGACTTAAATTAAACCTTTAACCAATTTCGTTTCATTCTAGTTCATCACAAATTCAATATACAAATTTAATTCGATGCACACCGGCATTTATTTGTTTAAAGTTTTAGCTGTAAATTTTGTTGATTTATTTCATTCATTCAGGAAAACTGTTTTCAAAGCTTTATCCTGTTTGATTGATGAGCGGAAAAATTTTCCAATCAACAAATTTTTCATAAACTGTACAGGAAACTGCAAGAATAGATTTAAATTTGTATGTTCACACGAAATTGTTTCTTAAGCTGAATTTCAATTTGCCTAAAATTGGTCCATTAACTTTTATCTCATCAATTATTTAGTCAACTAATTATAATTTGCTTTCCCTCAACAGGTCTGTAAACGCATCTTGGCTCCTGTATCAACTGTGATGATTATATTTATCGTTGTCTTTAGTACCTACGTTTATTGGTCAATGGTGAAGTTGTTAACCTGGAAAATGTTATTATCAGCTGGTCTCAATGTGTGGCTCGGTTTCTTAATTGGTCTTGTGTTTTCGATTGCATTTAGCTTTGAAAGAGCAGATCAGATAGCCATTGCAATTGAAACCGGTATTCAAAATACAGGAATATCAATTATGCTCATCCGTCTAGCCTTGCAACCACCAGAAAGTGATTTAGCCACTCTTTTGCCAGTTGCAGCTTCCATCATGACTCCAATCCCATTGATGATCCTATTTGTCTTTAAGAAGTTATGTGATGTTTGTTCCTCTTCACAAAAAACGGTTGTTTATAGTTCACCTGAAGATAGTATTTCCCACCACAAGCATTTACGCACACCCCAATCAGTTAATGGTCTAATGTCGATAAAGAGTTTCTCATAATTTTCTGTTCCTACCAATCTCTCTACTTACCTACTCATCATTATCAATTTTAGAGCAATAGTGAATGTCTCCTGAGTCGAAATGAGAAGAAAACGTTAGTTAATTTAAACTCCAAAAAATCAATATTGAATAGTCATTTGAAACACTCAATCATTCAACGAATCAATGAACCTTTTGTCCCATTGAATCTTAGTACGAATGAATAATACGAAAATATTTAAACCAAAATTTGCTACTGTCTGGATCTAGTCTAAACTCAAAGGAGCTATTGAAAGTCTGATTCCGTCAACATCCCAAAATCAAAAAAAGTGCAATCATCTTTTAGTTGTCCAATCATTTTCTGTTTGCTCCAAATTTATACGATAACCAAAATTTTTGTTAAAATTACAAAGCAAAATTAATTTTTTTAAATTAGTTATTTAATGTACATTGTATTTTAAAGGTTAATTATTGTTGAAAAATTATCAATCTATAATATCTATAATAATAAATTGAATCCAAAGCATTTCAAAACCAAACCATTCTCTATACAAAGCAGCCTTTGATGTTCATTGGTACTGGCTGAAGACCAAATACTCAACACTTGAGCCAATAAATTAAGATTTTAGAAAAATTTCCGATTTCCATTCGTTCCATTCGGTAAAATTTCAAGATCTGAATGAGCGCAAATTTACAATCAGTAGCATTATCGCGGAAATATTTTCAAGAATATACTGCGAAAAGATGAAAAAACATCTAAATTAGATCATTGATTCTAACAATCAAATTCTTCGATTGAGTTGTTAATAATGAATAACTACATACATAGCAAAGAAATGTACTTGTAAGTAGAGTTAAATCCCCAATCTTGAATCCATTGTATGAACATTTCTCCAGAATGTGTAAAATCTGAAAGTTAAGAAGAGGGCAAAACAATTTAAATTAAACATTTTTTTATGCCAATCTGTAAACTTTTTATTCTTTCATTTGTTATTGTGTTTGGAAACGCGAATCGATACTTAAGTCTCACCTTAAGTCCATTGTGTATTTGAACGCCACAATGTCGAGCCATGAAGGAAGAGTAATAACCACAAATTTGGTTAAACTGTAATTGGAAGGAAAAAGGTGAAAATGAATCTCATTTTGTCAAAGACTTACTTTAGTGTAAACCATTGCGCTTGCATGAAGAATAATTGTTATAGAGATTACACCGAAAAACGTGGCTATCAGTATGACATTAGCAAGCAGATTGGAATGTAACTTGAGAAAACTCGCAGCTGAAATCGCAGTGACCATCAAGAATGACATACCAACGAGGGAATAACCAATCAAATATCTGAAATCTTCAGCCAACCGATGGAAATGAATGAAAATTTTTTGCAAATTGAAATTGGCCGATTTCAAGAGGCCATTCATTTCTGTCGATTCAACACTTTGATAAGACATTTTGAGTCTATCCAATTGAGATTGAAGTCGAGCCAAGTACAAGTACGGCAATATTACTGCATAGGCAGCTACGGCTCCACAGCCATAAGAAAGAAACAAAACAGTTACCGTTTCTAAGACGAACCAGATAGCACTCGAAATTAGGTAAATGTAGTTTGAGTAAACATGAACATTCAAAAGTCTTATAACTGCCAAACTCGTAACAATGAGACATGTAAGTGGGTAAATAAGGTTTGAGAAATTGATTAGAGCAAATTGAATTCGACGCTTAAAAATATCAAATTGAACTGGAGATATTTTCAAGGCATGGCAATTGAAACTCGAGTTCATGACTTTGATTTCCAATAGAATAACGAATCGACCTTTTGTTTCAAGATACAGAATGTACTCGCGAGCTATGATAAGCACTGCAAAATATAAGAACTGAAGCAAGTTAAATGTTGCACTTTCTGGTGACCCATAGAATGAATTTCCAAGAATTATGCTCATGTTTGAAGATTCATCAGTAACTATGAGAAGAGCAAAGCGAATAATCGAGATTAAAGTGCCCAATCGACAGAGAACATTGAGCTTGTTGAAGTAAATATGCTGAGTTCCATCCTGTTGGTATATAGTCCTTTTCTCAATATTAGAGTTATTATTGTAAGGAAATTAATTTGTCCAATCAGATGACAAATCTTATCAGAGCTCACATCATTTGAAAGTCCAAATGCATACGCGAGTTTAGACTTCATAAGTTTCCATTTTATTTCAAAGGTACTTTGGGTCGTCATTTTAATGTTGATGTTTTAAAGCAAAATATCAAGTTTACTTTCAATACAACTCAATGCTCAGATATTTTCGTCGTTCAATAGAATAAGCCAACAAAATGGATTCATGAAATTAACGGTCAAAAGTTAGGCTCAATTGGATAATGAATTTCGAACTTTTTCTTTTACAGAGTTTCTCTTTTGAACCTTCGTTAAAAAATAAGCTTGAATCGATATGAAAATATTACTTTTCCAAGTAAATTACAGATGTAACTATTAAAGTTATAAGAGTAAAACAATTAAAGATTTTACCTTCAAATCGATCAAATATTTGTTCAATTTGTAGAAGTCAATACATCGATAATGAACATTGAATAATATTGATTCTGTTTTATGTATTAATGTTATAAATAATGAACGTTACATTGCTTTCAGAACAAACAATAAAATCTGTCCATTATAAATTGTTTATTTCAACGATTTTCTTTGCAATGTTGAAAAACGGTTTTAATTGGTGAAGATGTAATAGATTCTTGAAGTTCGATGGTAAGGGTAAATAGCCAAGGTCCACGCAGTGTCTCAAAAAATTAACAGCAGAGTGTGAAGCAGTGCTTCGCGATATTGTAATGCAACGTTAAAAGAATCGAGCATTCAATGAGTACAACTTATCACAATATAATTATAATACAATTATAGAAACGGAGAAACAGTTTATTTTGAGGTCGTTTAAAAATGAGGATGCGTTTGAAAATGAGCACAAAGAACTATTAATAGAAATGAACAAAACAACAAAATGTGTTTCATTACAACTTTTTCCCGTGTAGTGCGTAGATAGTTCAGCATGTAGACTCCTCCATTAATCCAAGTAATCTGTAACATACTTTTAAATCCAGCAAATCGTTCAAAAGACACAGAATTTTTAACCTAGCCACTGAAAAGACCTTGTTTTTGGTCCTTCTTTCCTCATCTTTCTTTCCTTGGGAAATCTTAATATTCTAATGAACGGACATTAACAATTAGTAGCATTATTGCAGAAATGTTTTCAAGAATAAACTGTTAAGAAATGGAAATAAATTAGATCGTGAATTCCACCAATCAAATGTTTCAATTGAATTGTATTACATACATAGCAAAGAAATGTACTCGTAAGTAGAGTTAAATCACCAATCTTGACACCATTGTATGAACATTTCTCCAAAATGTGAAGAACCTGAAAGTTAAGAATGTTCAGATTAACGAGAAAGTGTCTCAAGATTTTAAATCAACATTTACCTTCAAACCATTATGGACTCGAACACCAGAATGTCGAGCCATGAAAGAAGAGTAATAACCACAAATTCGGTTAAACTGCAAAAAATAAGAAGATAATCAAAAGGGAAACGCATTTTGTGAAATACTTACTTTAGTGTAAATCTGCGCGCTTGAATGTAGAATAACTGTTATGGAAATCACACCTAAAAAGGTAACAATTAATATTAAATTAGCGAGCAAAGGAGAATGCAATTTAAGAAAATTTGAAAACACAACTGCAGTAACCATCAGAAATGAGATGGCAAGGACAGCATAGCCAATTAAGTAATTCAAATCATTAGCCATTCGATCAAAGTGGAGGAAAACCTTTTGCAAATCAAAATTAACTGATTTCAATATGTAATTCATTTCGGTCGATTGGGTGGTTCGATATGATATGTAAAGTCTATCCAATTGCGATTGAAGCCTGGCCAAGTATATATATGAGTACGTGAAGGAATAGGTAGCGATGGCTCCACAGCCCCAAGAAAGCATCAAAGCAGTTGCCATTTCAGGGACGAACCAAGCAGCACTTGCAATTGCATAAACGTAGTTGGAGTAAAGTTGAACATTGAAAAGCCTTACAACTGCGATACCAAAAACAAGGAAACAAGAAAAGGGATAAAAAAGGTTCGACCAATTGAATAAGTTTAATTGAACATGGCTTATAAAAATATCGAATTGAGCTGGAGACATTTCCAAAGCATAACAATTTAAACTGTTATGCAAAATCTTCATGTCAGACAATAGACTGAAGCCACCCTTCGATTCCAGGTACAAAATGTACTCTCGAACTAAGGCAAGCATGGAAATATATGTGCATTCGAGAGCGTTCAAAATTCGACTTTTTGTTGATGAATAGAATGCATTTCCAAGAATAATGCTGATGTTCGAAGGCTCCTCGGTATTTATTAGAATAATGAAACGCAAAGTCATTATCAAGATGCACAATCGAAATAAATTATTTCTCTTCTTGAAATTAAAGGTTTCCTTTTCATTCCATGGTTTCTCATTCTGATGGTATCCTTTTCTCAATATTAGAGTTAATAACGTGAGTGAATGAATTTTCCCAATCAGGTTCGAAATTTTTTCAACTGAATGTTCACTTTTTGAAAGGCCAAACGTAAACGCGATTTGAGACTTTATGAGTTTCCATTTTATTTCAAAGGAAGTTTGAGCCGTCATTCCAATGTCGGTGGTCTTCTGAATGTATAATAACTTTTAACTTGTCTTTATGCAATGTAATTGACTTTCTCTGAACAAGACAAACTCAAATAAACATAATATAATAAGTCAACAAAGTTGTCAATAAAATTATCAGGCCACCAAAAAGTTTTCCTAAATTGGATAATGAATTTAAGATTCTCTAGAGTTTTACAAAAAGCTATTATCTTTGAAAAATAAACTTGGGTCGATGTAAAAATATATATGTTTACGAATTTTACTAATAGCTATTCATATAACTTATTAGTTTAAAAGCAATTGCTCTAAACAAATCCTAAATTTTGAATTCAGCTTATTGTTGAAGTCAATTTGTCAATAATGAATATTGAATCGTAGCGATAAACGCCTAATTTATTCAGAAAAAAAATAAGCTGCAAAATAGAGAGAGGGTAAAAGGGTGGGCAAAAATCGGGGATGCATCTTGTTAGTGCCTGAAGCAATGAGTAAAGCAACAATAAGTTTTTTCGATAATCTTTTCATGCTTTTCTTCTAAAATATATAACTTTCAAAAAAATCATTGTTGAAGTCGTTCGATGAGCTTCCGAAAGTTGGAACAAATGTATTCGATGACTCCATCTTTTTTACTTCAGTTGTTACTCTTATGTGTAAGTTCTTATCATCGTCTACAACCAGCATCAAAGGTAATGGTATTACCTTCTTCAGGAAATTTTGTTCATGTAAGGATATGAAAATGTCCAAGCGATTTGGTCCGGTGCGTAAAGACCCTTCCTTAAAAATCTACTGTACCCCGGAAACAGTGATAAAAGAACTGCGTGCATGTGCACGCAAGGTGAGAAACTTTGTGTATTAAAATCAAGCTACAATTGGTTGGCATATTCGTCTGCCCATTGTAGACTTCCACTCCTTTACAAGGAAGAGGAGTACAAAATGATCATATATGACCATCTCATTGATTCCTACGCTGTCTCTAGGACGATTGAAAAGCTATTCGCCAAGAAGCTGAAAATTAGGATTGAGGGGATTTCGTGTGGCCGGCAAAACCTTGGTTCGAAAACCTGTGTGAGAAACTGTCTACGAAAGGCAGTTCAACTAACAGGTAAGTATAGAGAACCAACCATTGTAAAATCGTACAATTTTGTATTAAAAAAGTTTATTTAATTTTATTAATAAAGTCTTATTTCTCTAGTCAAGTCTCTAGTCTTCAGTTTTATTTTATTCCTATCTTCCCTCTCTTTTCGGTCAAAAACATGGACAGTCTTTTTTACGCGGTAGCCCTTACTTACTACTACAGTCTTGCCACACTTATTTTGACAAAAAAATCGGAGCCATCTATTGGTATCGAAACTCTAGCCCTAGCATAAACAGTGCTGGGATAGTACTTTCGTCTTACTATTGGCAATATAATAGAAGGTGCTGTTTTTTTGTCAAAATAAGTGTGAAAAGACTGTAATTTCATTTCAATGCATACAAATTTTACTTGGTTGTACATGATTTCTTGCACTGTTGTTATGTCAATATATTATTTATAAATCAAACTGGCCATTTTAACATCAAAATTATTTTCAGTTTATACACTATTTCCAATTATTAATATTGGCTTTGATTGATATTAACATTAACTAATTAATATTTCAATTATGTTATTTTTTACGGATTTTTTAGCATTTTTACGTTGCGGTGATACAAGGCAAAATTGTACATATTGCTCCGTATTGATCTTACGGACTTTTAAATTCTAATGCGTAAAATTGCTGAACATCAATATTATTCAAGAAAACCCCCCAAACAATTTAATTGAATTAATAAAGCCAAGGTTCAATTGAGATTCAAGATAACCAGTATTATTTGACAATGTTTTTTTATTTTAAGACCAATTGTCATTTGCCAAAAATATTGATATCAATTAGATCAAGATGCTCAAAAACTTGATTAGATTGATGAAAATCTGTGAAAATATCCGATTGCCATCGTTATCCTGTCCACTAGGTAGAATTTCAAGATTCAAATGAACGGATATTAACAGTTATTAACATTATTGCGGAAATATTTTCAAGGATAAACTGTAAATAAATGGAAATACATCTAAATTAGATCTTTGATTCTAGCAATTAAACGCTTCGAATGAGTCATTAATATACGTATGTATAATGTATAAATACGTGGAAAATTACATACATAGCAAAGAAATGTACTTGTAAGTAAAGTTAAATCACCAATTCTGATTCCATTGTATGAACACTTCTCCAAAATGTGTAAAATCTGAAAGTTAAGAATGCTCAGATTAGCAAAGAATATTTCTCAACAATTTATAAGATTTTAAATGATACAAAGTTTCACCATGTACCTTCAAACCATTATGAATTTGCAAACCATATTGTCGAGCCATGAAAGAAGAGTAATAACCACAAATTTGGTTATACTGAGAAAAATAAGAAAATGATTAAAAAAGAATCAAATTTTTGTTCAAGACTTACTTTAGTGTAAATCTGAGTGCTTGAATGTAAAATAGCTGTCATACAAACTACACCCAAAAAGGTAGCTATCAAAATAACATTAGCCAGCAAAGGAGAATGCAATTTAAGAAAATTTGAAAATGAAATTGCAATGACCATCATAAATGAGATGCCAAAGACAGCATATCCAATAAGATAATTCAAATCATTAGCCATTCGATCAAAGTGAAGAAAAACCTTTTGCAAATCGAAATTAACTGATTTCAAGAGATAATTCATTTCTGCCGATTGAGTACTCCGGCGTAATATGCGGAGTCTATCTAATTGTGATTGAAGCCAGGCCAAGTAGAAGTATGACAATATGAATGAATAAGTACCGATGGCTGCCAAACCCCAAACGAGACACACAACAGTTGCCGTTTCTGGTATGAACCAGATAGCACTTGAAACTAGATAAATCAAGTTGAAGTAAACTTGAACATTCATAAGTCTTACAATTGCTAGACCCAGAACAAGGATGAAAGAAAACGGATAAAAAAGGTTTGACCAATTGAATAGAGTGAATTGAACTCGGCGCACAAAAAGATCAAATTGGACTGGAGACATTTTCAAAGCATAGCTATTTAAACTTGTGTTCAAAGTCCTCATATCCAACAGGAAGCTGAGGCGTCCTTTTGATTCGCAATACAAAATGTACTCTCGAGCTATGACGAGCATGGAAATATATATCAACTCGAGCAAGTTCAAAGTTCGACTTTTTGTTGACGAATAGAATGCATTTCCGAGAATCATGGTGATGTTCGAGGGCTCCTCGGTAAATATGAAAAAAATGAAGCGCAATATCATTATCAAAAGGCACAATCGTAAGAAGTCATTTCGCTTCTTGAAATTAGAAGCTTCCTTTTCATTCCACGGTTTTCCATCCTGGTGGTATCCTTTTCTCAATACTAGAGTTAATAATGTAAGTGAATGAATTTTGCCAATCAGAGCGGAAATTTTTCCAACTGAACGTTCACTACTTGAAAGGCCAAATGTAAAGGCAATTTTAGACTTTACGAGTTTCCATTTTATTTCAAAGGAATTTTGAGTCGTCATTCCAATGTCGGTCTTCTAAACTTTCAACTTCTTTTAAGCAATTCTTTTGACTTTTTTGCTAACAACAACATAAATGAACAGAATAAACAACAAAATTTACCCATGAAATTATCGGTCCACCGAAAAGTTTACCTCGATTGGATAATGATTTTAGATTCTCTAGAGCTTTGAGTCAATCCATTGTCTTTCAAGGATAAACTTGATATAAAAATATTACCATTTAGCATACAAATGTTGACAATAACTATTCAAATAACATCAATGAATCAATTAGATAATAAAGATTGATCAATTTGTTCAACTTATTATTGAAGTCGATGTATCGATAGTGGCTATTGAACCGCAGCGATAAACGCCTTATTGATTCAGACAAACAGTGAAATGCGTCGATTAAAAAATTGTTTATTTCAATAATTTTCTTTGAAATGTTAACAAAAATGGTTATAATTGGTTATATTACAAAAGGGCAAAACAAGAGCTTCAAGTGTCTAAAAAATGAATCATGAATAGAGGAAAGAAGGGAAATTGTAAACTCAAAAAATCAACTTTCAACATTGAGATTCTCAATGAATCATGCTGTCGTCTCTTCTTCACAACGACCCATTAAATTTGATCCTTTGTTCATTAGTTCAGATTGAGTTAAGGCTCGATGGTTATAAACAATACTGGGGTGCTGTGAATGGTAAGTATGATGAGCTCCTTGACGACCCAGGGTCACATAACCAGGTATGGAAGAGGCTTGGATGGATGGATTGGTTGGTACGGTTGTTGATATTGTACACTCGGAGGTGCAGCATGTGGATGATGGGCAACCTGAATGGTGGTGACTTGGACTGTAGTGAAAGACGCTCATTACCGGTTCTTCCATTGAACTCTTTTTCAACACTGATTTAGGACTTCGACGTAAAGTGTTGCCACCACTGCCACTGATTGTGCTTGCATTTGAAGTTGTCGAGTCTCTTGGAGCATAATTTGTTATCAAAACTTTGGCACAGTCACTTTTAAGTCTATTTAAATCAGTTATTGAATCGTTCAAGTTTACATTGGTTAAGTAATGAGTTTGATAGGTTCGATCTTGTTGCTGTTGCAGTTGCTCTTGTTGAAGATACTTGTCTTCATCCAAAGCCATACCAAGATCAGTGTTGCCCGTTGACCGAGTAAGGTCAAGTTCATCATCAGGCTTACTTTCACCGCAATCTTGAATAATATAGGAACTTCGATTGGTTAATAAAGGTGTTTCATCTTTGGTTAAACCCTGAGAAGAGAGAGAGAAAAATATTTGTAAATCAATTTGTTTATCGAAATATTGATTAACCATTTGAGTAGCAAAAGTTGTCGATTTTTTTCACCACAAAACATGAATTTTTAGCTCAATTAATTCGAACATAATCGAGTTTTGAATTAAAATCTAGTTGAACATGTGACGAATTGAATAGCTAAGAAGATGGAGTGAATTTTTGTGTTGAAATGAACAGTTTTTTTCCTCTTAAATTGTTGCCATTACTTCAACAAAATGTGAATACCAATAAGTTGAAGGAAAAGAGTAAAAGTTTAAACAAAATTCAACATTGTATTGAAGATGAAGATGGTAAAGAGTATTAAAAAAGTTTGAGAAAAGCAAAGAAGAAGAAAAAGTGTTTGCCATTTATTTTATCTGAATTGACATTGGAATCTTCTTTATTCACATTCTCTGGCAGATCTTTAAGAGCAAAGATGAAGATAAAGATGAAGATGAAAAAAGATCAATCAACAAGAGTAAGTAACGGATGAAATCGATAATAGGAATCACCTATTTAAACAAGCAACAATATAAAAAAAAGTGTAAAGCTTTGAAAAGTTGAGGCAAAATATTTAGTAATAGAAAGAGCGGCGAGTGGGAAAAAAAGAGACTTTAACTCAATTTTATTCGGTTGAGGAAAATGCTTCTGATTCTTTATTTGAAATTGATTTTCATGGAATGCTTTTTATCTTATTAGATACAAGATAAGATGATGAAAGGATGATGATGATGAGAAAAGAAGAAGAAAAAAGAAGAAGAAAATGAAAAGAAGGAAAAGTCTGTTTTTATCGTGGTATTTTGGTCTACATTTAGATATTGTAGATATTATTATAACGCAGAATGAGAGAGATTTAGAGAATCACAAGATTCAGTTAAATGAAGACAAAAATGCTGAAGAGTAATGTTGTTTAGTGAAAAGAAAGGTTAGTCTTGTTAAAGATTGTCTCACTCATTTTCATCATCATTCGTCTTTATTCAACTCTGAAAGAGGAAAGTAAATAAGCTTCTCCTGATGACAGTTATTAACAGCTATTCATTTGGAATGACCTGTCTTTAGCTATAATAGGACACTTACTCTTCGTTAGTAAATCTTGATTCTCTTCCCTTCCACCAGCATCACCATGGAGCTTTACTCCATTCACTCTGCTTCCAGTCACAAAACGCTCATCTTTTTTAACCAACCTAATGAACTTACTGTTAACTGTACAAGTTGAGTGTGTCCAAATTGTACATTTATCCTGTAACTCACACACAACCCAGAATCTGATGCTTCTGCTTTTGACAGCTTCATCTTCATCCTGCTCTTCATCTTCCCTTCCATGGATACATTTTCACTCCCAGCCTTCTTCTTCTTCTTTTCATTGCATTTCGTTTCATTTCATATTACATATCATTTAGCATATCATTTGTCAATTGATTCTCAATGGAACACAAATTTTTTGTTGACCTACAAAAATGAGCTTGTTTGCACACTTTAAATTTAAATTTTTGCATCAATTTTTTTTCCGTCGCAAATGGTCAGTTATTGCTTCAAGCTATTGAACCACTTTTCATCATGTCGCCCTTAATAACAATCATTGTGATAATGTTAATAATAGTGATATATATTATTATTAAATGGCTGCAGGTTAGAAAATGATGGAAACTCGGAAGGATAACAGGGAACAGGAAAAATGGTCGACAATATTCTCAATAGTCTTGGACAGGTTAAAAAAGCTTGTCAAACTTGCTAAGTGAGCTTCGGATGAAATGGTCAATGTTTCCATTGGCCAGTTAATAATTTTTTTTGCAACAAAATGGTGTCGACATTTGAACTTTCATTGTTGGTTAAATGATAAAAGGTTCAATTGACAAGAAACAACTAAAAGTGAATGTCTCTATTCTTAATGCCTGTTTGTGGTCATATCTGATCAACTGAATATGAACACAGTAAGCTGACCAAGATTGGTATTTTAATTTCTGTAAATATTTGGCATTTCTATTTCATTCGACTTATTAACTTGTCCACTTTGAATAATGAAGATTAGTTGGAAAAGGATGAACCTGACCTGATAGCTTTATGCAATGACACTAGCAAAACATAACGAGATAATTCATATCTACATCTTAATATTCCTAATGAATCGGACATCAATTGGGCCTAATCAAATGTATTTGCTTCTTATATCGTTTGGCTTGGAGGACTTTTCCCTTTCTAAGCTACCCGATAGAGATAATCAAATGTAATTTTTAAGCGACAAGAAAATCTAAAGAAATTTTGTAAGAACTTTGAGATCGTTTGAACACTCGTCGTCAAGTTTTGATCATTCATGATTGTGCCTTTTGCTCATTGACAAGCTGATATTGTGCGATGCAAGTTGCAGTTATTTAAATGCTCACGTGCTTTGTCATTCATCAAACCTTTAGGCAACCACTCGTTGTTAAAGACTGCCAAGACTTTGATGCAAAAATATTTTTGACTATCAGTTGTACAACATCACTTTTGTGAGTTTCCTGAGACTTCTTATGAAACAATAAGACAGATTTGTCGAATAATGCATGATCGGAAACTTTTCTGCTAACCTATTATTGGCAAAGCGTAAATAAATTTCTGGAAAGTTTTGTCTTCCCTCAGATAAAAAAGTATGAATTTCAAAAAGCTTATTTAAGCGGATATTAGAGGTAAAATAAGCTCTAGCCATCACATTAATGAGCATTTCCTTTGCAATGATATCTCAATCATGTATCACATTTGGCTAGGAATCATATTTTGATGAAAACTTTCATTTGTCATTTCAATATCAATTGCATGAAAGATTCGATTAGATGAAAATCTAGTCACCAGAGTTGTCTTGTCATCTCGATTAAAATGGTCCAATGATGGACATTTGATTGAAACCTGAGCAGACATCGAAACCCAAAAATTGAATGATAAGAAGATCAAAAATTGACCTTGTCACCAACAAAAGCTTTCAAAGACAATCAGGAAAACTATTCATGATTAAATTGTATAGAGAAAATTGGAATAATTAGAGAAGAAGCAAAGTTGAAATTATTCAATCATTAATATTCAACTTTTTACTTTCATTATTCAACCATCGATTCCCAACATTGAGCCCATCCTAAATGAATATCTTCACTGAATGCAAGTAGCTACTTGTATCGATCGCAAATGATATTATTAATATAATAACATTATCATTTGAATATTACAGTTAACAAGTGACTTTCATTTCCTTTGGTCAACAACCTTTATCACACTTATAATGGATATTTGATGAAAAAAGAGTTGAATATTGAATAGCATTTTATTAACAAATATGGTAATTCAACTGTTCACTTCAACTTGGCGACATTTTACAAGACTGAATTTGGGGCGAAAAGCAGAAAAAGGAGAAAAAAAGACTCACCTCTTCAAATTTATTATGGTAATCAGAGTGATGATGGTGATGGTGATGAAGAAGTGGATGATGTTGCTGTCCATTTACACTTGCATCTACAAGAGTTGAATTATTATTATTACTATTATTAACATTGGTGAGTGATGTTGAATTGGTTGAACTTGAGATGGGATGATGAGGATGCGAATGGTGAAGATGATGATGATGTTGTTGATGACCAGAATTACTATTATTAGCTGAATTGCAAGTAATATTATCATTGCTTGAATCTAAATGGGAACACGATGATTTGGATCGATTTGATTTTGCCTTGTCAAGCTGATAATAGACACCAGCAAATATAAGCATATTCAATATTAACAGGGAACAACCAATGGCTATGGTTACACTCAATGCTGTTGAATAATTATTCTGTTCCATGATTATCGGAGTTGCCTGGGTTTTATTGGAAATTGTTGATAGTGATGATGAAGATGAAGGCGAAGGTGAAGTTTTACCCTCGGTTGTTTCATCAAAGTTGCCATTTGAACTTTTGCTCGACGATTCGCGATTTGCTTTCACCGAATCATTTAGTTTATTGGAAGATAAAAATTTCCAATCACCACGAGTCGAATTCGAACTCTGATTCACTTCAGTTGCATTTGATGAGGGCGATGAAGGTGATGATGGATGGAATCGTGAAGATATTTGACGGACAATTCCGTCATAAGAATCGGGACTTTCATGGTCGGGAAGTAAATGATGTTTATAATAGTAAATGGGCTCTTCGTTGAAGGAAGTTTCCTGAAGGCGAGGAACAAGATGAAGCCAATATGAAAGTCGATGGCTGTGGTAATGGTCACGAACTTTGGGCTTCATTCCTGGAAAGAGAAAAATTTTAAGAAAATGAAGTTTCTATGAATTTTGAAGAAAATTTTCAACAGTAAACTGAAGCTTTGCTCATAAACTCAATTCCCAAGTCAATGGTCAATAAGTGCTTCATTAACATCTTGATAGTCGAAGAGTTTAATTGAGTCTTTTATCGAGTATCCATTTTTAGTCATGAAATGAATAATTCAATTGCATGATGTAAATAGAAAATAACTTTTTTTCTCGCTGATAAATTCGTGCGATAATTGAATATAAAAATTGACTTCTCATCGACAAGCAATTCATCATTTTCCAGAAACGAACACAACTTTGCTCATTTTCTGGGAAACAATAAAAAACTTTATTACATTACAGCGTTAGGCAGTGCAAGTTGATCATTTAGATATTCATAAGTTGACAGTTTACCAAAAGACGATTAAACCACATTTAAATTTTTTATCTTCTTATTTATTCTTGTGTACTTCTCGTCAAACAGGCAAAAAAATAGACTTTTAAACAAATGTAATATCAGTGATGAAAAAAAATAATGATTGATGATGAAAATAAAGAGCGTAAACCTTAATCACAGCGGGTGAAAACGAAGAAAAAAGAGAATAAAAAAAGAGACTTTTCTTCGCTTTTCATCCAACATGAAATAATTGTCTTCCTGGAGTTTACATTAAATGAGCAACATCCTCATCATTATCCTGTAAAATATATTAAGTCTCAAGATGCAAAACAGTGAGCAATCAAAAGGCAAGAGAATGTCTAGAGAAAATCTTCAAATGAAGAAAATGCTGAAATTGAAACGTTGAGCGCAACTTGAAATGCTGATGAAAGAGGAAACAGGAAAATTATTTGTAAAAATGTATTGAAAATTGTTTCAAGCGATTAAAGAAAATAGAGTTTCTCAAATGAGCAAAAAGTTTACCACTTAAGAAGTGTTGATTGGTTTTGATAACAGATTAACAGGGAAAAGAATTGAAGAAAAGAGTAAAATTGATAAAATTAATCACTTGAAGATAAAATGTTGAACATTTACAATGTATATGATATTGTTATACTCCCAGACTGGGAGTGAAATTGCTCTTGTGATAACTCTTGTTCAACTGTTATTAAATTTACTGTTGCAAGTTATAACTGCCTATTGATTACAGTTGAGTTATTGATTGTAAAAAAAGCAAGGTTCAACATTACAGTTTGTTGCTTTTAATATTGCTGTTGCTGGTAACGATCATGACAATATTGTTGCTGTTCAAATGAGTTTCACGATCAAAGTTACATCAAATTATCACTCTTTTTATGCTGACTTGCCTTTTATTAGAAACTTTGTCTCTTTTCCTTTGGCAAAAGGCTCTTCTCATCAGTTTATCAAAGGTTTACATTGTCATAGATGAAACATTATCATCAATTGTTTTCATCATCTAAACTCTAATTTAGTTAATACAACATCAATTGACTATAACAGCAACCGTAATAATGATGATAATTTTTCCTCTCAAGAGTTATTTTTTCATCTTTAAATTTCATCTTTCAACATTTTCTTTTGGCTTCTTCCTTCCTTTCTCCTTGGTTCCAGTCTTGTTTTGAAACTTTTTTGTTTTGCTAACACAGTTTAAGGTTTGGACAAAATAATGATCATGAGATGGTAAAGGAAATAAATGGTTTCAGCCAAAGTTGAACTCGAGAGATAAAAATGACTCTGAGTATGAAAAAGGAAAGCAAATTTTGGAATGAGGTTCACCTTTAATCTTGTTTAGTACATGAGGTTTCAACATTAGTACATTAGTGTTACATGGAGTGGCACACGCATGTTGCAAGTTCAAAGTTTAACTCAATGTTGTTTAAAAGTAGAGACTTTACAGGATTAAGATTAATTTAATTCACTAGATTCTTGGATAATTTTTTCTTCCCTTTTTGCACTGGTCAATCTTTTCACTTTTCTGTTGGCTCAACATTATTCACTTGTTTAATGTTGTCAAAATATTGTGTTAAACATTGTAATATTGTTGCAAGGAAAAGGCAAGTTTCAACAAAATTAAATGGTTGTTCCCTGATTTAACTAACGAAATGGCTCAAAGTGGAAAATTTTCATTCTTATGTGAGACAATTTATCGGCAGGAGATGAGAGGCAAAAGACAATTTAATAGACAGCACACTGAGATTAATGTTGAAATGGGTTAATGAAATTAAATTGCAGTTGAAGACTTGATAACAAGCTTAAGAATAATCGACTTTGATTAGTTTTATAAATCTCTTGGAGTTTTACTTTGTATATTTAAAAATGTAATCAAAATTTAACAATAAACTCATCATTGACATTATGAACTGAAATCTCAACTTCTTATTCACATCATTTATTGAAAATTTTTCGAGAAAAGAATCTATTTAAGTTAATCAATTCAATGCTATATTGATTGATAATCGAACTTTTTAGTTAAAACTGAGATCAAAACTTTTTCCGTTAATCTGGAATCTTTTAGATCCGATTAGAAATCGAATAACCAATCAATTCTTTCTGATTTACAGAGAAATTAAAACTCGTTTACTTCAAGTTCATTTCAATATTCAATGAATGAAAAGTTCTAGGCAATTCATATTGGAACTGGAGAACCATTAGCTACAGATCACTAGAATCTGAAGATTTTATTGACTAATAGTTCTCGGTTTCATGAGCTAACTTTAATAGAAAACTCGATTTTTTAGCTAAAATTAGATAAATGAAAGCTTAAAAAAGCTGAGAATTCATTTTCTTCTCCAGCATCAAACCGAACAAGAATTCGACTAAAGTGTAAATTCAAGAAAACCAATGTTTCTCCTGACCAATTATTGTAATTGAACAACTTTTTTCATCGAATCTGCTATTTTTCTTCGAGACAGATTTTGGTCATCAAGAATAAACTGCTAAAATTGAATGAAAAAAATTCAATTTTTTATCATTTCTAGAATTGAATGGAAACAATTTCGTGGAGAAAATATTGTCATCAAAACCTTCTTTAACCTTGAAATAGTGTATAATCCTTGTGCAGTTATCGAGTTATTCAGTTATCTAGTGATTAAGATGATACTTTAATAAACACTTGAATGTATCATAATGCGTATTATCAACACAGCTTAACATCACAGAAGGAGACAAACTAAATTAATAGAATCAACTTGATTTATCCTTAAAAGATTAAGGTCATTTATAATTGTTGAGCCAATTAATAACAACTTTGAAAGCAAAGTTGACCCTTAATAAACTCATTATTACACTAATACCAGGATAAAAGAGAGATGAAAATTAAGCTGAAAAGAGTTATTCAATGAATCAATTTTGAGGCTCATCGCGAATCCTTTCAAAATGTCCATTGAAAGGAACAAAAGTTAATTGGTTAAACAAAAACAAACAAAAAGTGAAAAACAAAGAGCAAACTTATAAAATAATTACTCAGAAAATGATTAATAAACCCTTTTCCATTCAAGATTATGATTGATAGAAAAATTTAAAAATAATTGTTAAACAATTTCCAAATGTTTCAACACTTATTGATTATTGATTTTTCACATTTCCATATCATGCTTATAGCTGTTAATAATCGTAAGATTATTTTGTTTTGCTCTTTCAAACTTGGACTGTTCAATGTTATCATGCGATAACTGAATTAACCCCAACTTTTATGGATCAATGAATGTTTAATACTGAAATGAAAAATGAATAGCAAATGAAGGTTAGACTATTAATAAGATAGATGGCACTTTGGTTCAATAAATCACTGGACGAAAAGCATTTAATCCCTGTTATGATTTGCAGGGTAAAAACAAGGAATAATTTTAGGCCATCATCATGATTATGATAATCGAGAGCATTAAATGATGACTTGAAAAGAGCAAAGTTGAACATTTCACTTTTAAAAACTTGAACAACTTACCAATCAATAGATATTTTCTCGTTATTGTATCGTATTGAGGCCAAAAGACATTTTCAAAGCGACCCTTTGTACGATCACCATGTGAGTCGAGTTCGTTGGGCCAAATGTTTGGATCACTTGAAAAAAGAAGAAAAAATGAGATTTAATTTTATTCCATTTTGGAAAAGTAAATTTTGGAGAAAATTTCTTTTACCCAAATTTGACAAAGTTGGTCCAATAAGTCATGACGGCTTCTGCTAGAGTCGCTTCTTGACGAGTGTAGTTGGTGTGAAAAATGCCCAATGGATTACCGAGTAAAGTGTTGGCCAATGGAGCACCGAAAATGTAAGACAACTCTTCACCATGTTGACAGCCAAGGCGAGGTGAGAAGCCAGAGTTTTCACTTTGATGAGAAAAGAGGTAGAAAAAAGTTCGAGATCCAAAATTGTGATGATCTGGTCGGTCTTTGGCTGTACCAGTGGAACCAGATAAGTTGACGGTTGAAGGTTGAGCAGCAGAGGAAGATGATGATTGTGATGAAGGTGATGGTAAAGAGCCTGGAGTTGGTGAACGTGAGGAACCCATTGAGTTGGCTGGATGATGATGTCGTCTTGAAGAAGCTACTTGGGAAGCAGAATAGGATGACATTGTTAGTCGAGCATTGGTATCACCAGTTTGTATCAATGGTGATACCACAAGAGCATCACCCAATATGTCAACCAGGGAATCAAAAAGATTGATTGGATGTTCAACAGGACGACTCCAGTCTGTATATTCGTTGATCAATGTCAAAAGAATAACCTTTTTTTTTGTTATTTTTGTTGTTCGCATTGTGCGTGATACATTTCATCGATAGTATATGTTTTGGTGTTCATGTTGAGATAAGATTGATGAGCAAAAATTAGACCAGAAAATTGAATATGTTACCATGTAAAGGGACAGAAAAAAAGGTAAAAGGTAAGTGACACAAGGAAAGGTTGATGAAAGTTGGAAAAGGTTTGAAGGATTGATTGGAAGGAAAACGGATGAAAGAAGAAAGATATTGTCAATGAAAATGTTCAATAAGATGGAATTGATAACATTGTACTTTTTCCTCTCTTCATCATATTCTGTTTCTTTACTCAGGTTGAACACTATTCAACTTTCAGGAAGTTGTTATCAAGTCAATGTAAACTTTTCCTTTGCTTATAAATCATCGGAATAACGAAGATAAAAGTAAATTTTGACTTACAAACAATCCAAAGTTGATTCAAAGCTAAAGTTTACACTTTTACGTCAATCATGTTCACCGAGTGCTTAAATGATTGATCAGTGAAATTCAAATGCAAGAATATTGATGAAAGAAAATCAAGTTTTTTTCGTTCTGCCTTCGATACTTACTTGCTGGTGAAAATCGAACAAATTGCGAACCAAAGTTCGTAAAATTCGATCTCTTCTTTTCATGTCGATTCCGTGTCGCTCTTCATGGGCGGTAAACAGGTAAGGTGATTCAACTCGAGTTATACCAAAAAGTAAATCATATGTAGTTGAAGGTGAATTGAATCCTTGACTATCGAATGAAAATCCATTTGAAGATGAAGTAGGCAAAGACGATGAACTGGCCGAAGATGATAGTGGAAGTGAGTAGGGAAGTGATGTTGGAAACATTGGCGAGTAGAAATGTGAAAAGGCTGATGAGGAAGAAGATGAATAATCGTACGATTTAGAGACCAACTCTTTGGGATGAGACATGACTACGATTCCATCGACAATTGGTCCAAATGCGGATAAATGTTGAGGAACCTTGAGGTCAACTCGAAGTATTTCCTCGGCAGTTTTACTTCGCAAACAGTTGACCATGATTAGGTTATCATGGTTGGGACAGTTCAACAGTTTGGCCAAATGGCGCGAGTAAATGTCGGAATCGGTGGCAATGGCCCATGGAGCAAGAGCGGAACCACTCATTAGGATGACTCGATTAAAGAGGTCAGTGGCCATGGGTGAGATCATTAAGAGGTTGACACAAGCAGCTCCATGGCCATGACCCATGATCGTTATATTGGATGGATTACCACCAAATTCATTGATATTTTCTTGTATCCAGTGTAAGGCAGCAACTTGGTCCATTAAACCATAATTACCTCGAATGGTTCCATCTTGAATGGCTGGGAGAAACCCTGTAAATCATGAGAAGAAAAGAATTTCTTGCTTAATATTTTCACCTTCTTTTTTCTTCCTTTTCATGGAGCAACACAAATTGTTTTGCAACAATTTTTGCCTTTTCATGAACATTCATCGTAAACACTTACCGAAAACTCCAAGACGATAATTAAGTGTGACAACAATAACATTACCAAAACTTGAAAGAATTGAACCATCATAAAGATTCCCTGTTCCCCAGTCGTAGGATTCACCATGAATGAAAACAAGTACAGGCAATTTTGAATTAACATTGGATGGTCCATCTAGAAGAAAAGAAAAAGGTTTCACTTTAACTATAAAGTCACTTGAAAGTCATTCATCAATCATTATGTAAACCCAACTGTTAACAATTTGCACACATTACATTTGGAATGTTCAGGAAAATCAAGTTACTCTTGGATATTAAACGAGTTTAAGATAAATGTAAAGATTAAAGATAATGTTTAAAAAATTGATTTAAAATGCATTTTTTCATTTCTCAATAGATGGCAGTTGGTAGGGAAAAGCACATAATATTACATTTGCCAATGCCGTTTCTCAATGATGAAAGCAGCTTTAGTAATCCCAGCTCGAAAGTTGTTTTTTTGTGAAAATGTTTTTGCTTAAAATCACCGATTTCGTGTGAATAATCCAATAATGCACAATGAGCTTTTAGTAAAAGTTTAGAGGTGAATTGAATAGTTGAATCAAGGGAAACATTTATTAGAATCGAATCAACTTTGATCATTGGATTATCAAATATTTTTATCGATAGGCTTTGAACATTAAATTGAATCGGGTTGAGGACAATTTAGAGTAAAATATAAATGCTCGAGGTAACAGAATTGCATGTAAATTTTGAGAAAAATATCAGCATAAAGAATTGAACTCCAAGTCTAAAAAGAAGAATATTTTTCTTCCAAAATTTCGATCACAAATTCAATGAACAAATCCGAATAAAATCTCTTAAAGAATCATTTACGAGTAACTGACCCAACTAGTATAGTCATTTTGATCCTGATCAATAGACCTTGCTGCATCAAAATAACTGTGTTCAACCCTCAAAGTACGATAAATAAAAAAAAGTTACTTTTCTTTTTACTGTTTCGGAACAAGAAAGGTCTCAATTGCGTCAGAACTTTTGCAACGAAATGTTCCTTTACAGATTAAGTTTGCTCAAACAAACTTGTAAACTTTTCTTTTGTCACCATGAGTGTCACAAATCAATCCATAACCTAGTTTGCAGGACAATAGAGCTACTCTTTTAAAGATAATCAAGTAACAGTCGATCTTGAAACTTTGGTTCAAATTTAATTATTGACTCAGTTGATACAATAAGAGTAATGAAATAAAGCAAATGTCAATAATAATTGAGGATGGCAAGTTATCATCTTGATTGTGTTATAAAAAGGTCAAGTTACAAGACTTGGTTCCAAGACAATCAGAATAGTCTAAAGAAATTTCCATTTGAAATGTTGCGTAAAATAAATAAGAAACTAAAAAAGTTGAGAGAAAAGTAAAGTTCATTCCATGGAGTGAAAAAAAGAAAAGAACAAAAATTAGAAAAAAATGTGAAACAAATTGATTAAATAATATCATGAGTGTTGAATCAAATTTCATGAGGCGAAACACAGGCAAGTTTACTGGAATAAACTTGCAATTTGAAAATAATTTTGCATTTTTGCACTTTTCAAATGTTTGGCTTTTTCCTTCTGTATAATGAGCAAACACAACTAATGAAAACATATTATTATGAATCATGCAAAGGCTGAGAATTAAACTCTTTTGTAAACATTCATTGGTTTAATGATGCTAATGATGTAAACCTGCAACTGAAAGTGCAAAAAGGAATCATCAAAATGAAAGTTCACTTTGAATTATTTCAAATAATTGAATTGGGAATTAAACAGATTTGCATCTTAAATGCTCCAAACAGGGAAAACAAGGAAATTTGTTCAACTTTTTTTTTCCTTCGTCGGTAATTCGTTGAAAGAAGAAGAAAAAAAGAGAGAAAAAATTGAAGCTCAAAATTCAATTGTGAACAAATATAAATTTCAATGAGAATAATGATGATGGTTATTGAATTGATTAATGAAAAGGAATTTCAAGAGAAACAGAAAAGTGCAATTCTTCCCAGTTGTTCAGCAACTGAAACTGAATCAAAAATTATCATTCTTTTAATGAATCATTCCCTTGAGCTTAGTAAACATCATTATCAAAATCAATTGAATATCAACATGAAACGCTAATAATTGAATAATAATCATGAAAATTCCTTTTTTCTCTTCTCTTCATCAAATTCTTTTGCTCAGAGTTAATGATGATTAGAATGAGTTGAAAAAGGTTTTGAAACTTTACTCGAAATAAAATACTTTTCATTTGTTGAGAAGAAGGGAAAACATGGAATATTTGCCTGTTGAAGAATTGCAGGGAAAATGTTACTTATTAGTTGCATGTGATACTTTTTCAATGGAACCATCAAACTCATTTCCATGATAAACATGAATACAGACGAGAAAAAAATGTCTATCGAATTGTGAAGAAAGGAAAGAGACAAAAAAAGGTTGAATGTTAATGTTAACCATAACATCTATTGAAGTGAATGAAATGAATAATGTGACTTTCGACTCTTGAGATTGGCAACAATGTACAATATTAATGATGATAATAATGCATTTTTGACCTGCACTATTAACTCAATCAAAGGTAGTTAATCAAAGATGAATGTTGAGATTAAATCGTTTAAAATGTCAACAATCATGACACGAAAAACGAGCAAATATCGAAGTTAATTAAAGTTATTTAAATTTTCCATTCATATTGATATTGGGATTGACGTTTTATTCATTTTGTAATAAAGATCTTTGTTAGTCGATTGGACAAGTATTGAAAGGAAATACGTCTCAATATGAAATTTGATGCAAGTCATTAACCTAGCATGCAATATGGTAGATCAGGAACTGGATTAAATAGAAGATGAATGGAATGTATGCAATCAGATAGAGTACAGAGCAAATGAAATCATGACTTTTGGTTCCAAAACAGAGAGCCTTTCGAGTTTCTAAATCCAAATTTTGCATTTTACAATCTCACAGAAAACTAATTTGACACAGAATTATGTTCATGAATTGACCTTCTGTTCATTTATTGTGCATTAAACATAAACAATATGTACGAGAAGCTAGAACGATCGAGAAATGTGAAGCTCTTTTTGCATCGAAAGCTTTTAAATTTCGTTGTTTGAGAATTTGATTTTTTTGTGGTTTCAGAAAAGTCTTTATACTTTGATTGTACTTTGACTGCTTTGCAATGTGAAAGAAAATTTTATGAGTAAAACTTGGAGTGAAAGAACTGCTTGAACAAGTGTTGTGCTGTGTTAACAATTTCAATCTTGTTTCTTGTCTAACATTTTCAGGTAACGAACCAAATGTTTAATAGACAAAAAATATTGTAACATTTTCTGGTTTTTGTTCATCAAGTAATGGATGTAAAAAGAGAAAAAAATATTCTTCTTTCTTATTCCCTTCCCAAGCTTAATCAACTCAAATAAAACCAATAAAAGTGACTTTTATGAGCATTCATCTACTCAATCATGATTTTCAACTAAAAAATCATTCCAAACCGTAAACATTACGTCAATCCTTTGAATACATTAATGGATGAAAATGCAAATCTTTTTATGTAAATTTTTCTTTATACAAAAACTTTAAAAGCAACTATTTGACAAGTTTCAAGTGAAAAGGTAACCATTGAACTAAAAGGGCAAAGAAAAATTCATTGATCAATGGAAAAAGAAAAACCAACAAAAGAACTTCAAAATATTGCAAGTATTAAAGTTTAATTCCATTGAATTATCTGTTCAAATTAGCAAACAAAAGCAACATCGAAATTAAAGTTTCGAAATTTACATTCAGATATAAATTAAACAAAAACAGAATCTCAAAATTGATAACTCGAAAGATGCAGATCGAACCATTGAACTACACAAAGCACCATTCAGATTGATTTTGATGCACAAGATCAAAGAAATTCTTCGTTTTTGCAGCTTTCTGTGAACACTTTTCTCTCTATTAGAACTTTCGAATTCGCGATTTCTTGTTTTTTGAACTTTATATTTTGAATGTGAATCCCGAATCTGTATTCAATTGAATTGCACACTTTTCTGGAGAATCGCAGTTCTTCTGAACAAAACTAAAGATAATAGCAGCAATAATGGAATAATAATAACTTCACCTGTCAATGTTAATGGACCTTAATGATTATTGTTCAACATGACGAACCTTTATTCAGTCTCTTTTCTTGTAATAAATACATTCTACCATCATTATCGTTTCAAGATGATTTAACTTTTGAGTTGAACAATTACATGAGAAAAATGTCTAAATAAAGACAAAAAAAGGATCGCTTAAAGTGAGAAACTCGAGTTTCTCGGTGAAAATTGTAATTCACTTCGTTTACTTTAATGTTTCTTCATTTCAATTTAGCCTTTTCAAAAGTTACAATGTTGAATAACAAGGAAACTTTGAAAGCTTTTTCAACATGTTTACCAAGATGAAAACATCAAAACATTAACCATGATTGGAAACCACAAAAGCATTTTAAAAAAACGAGTAAAAAGGTTCAGGTAAGAAGCGATAAAAATAGAAAAAAATAGTACATTCGAAAGAAAATGTTGCAAAAAATATATTTTGTAACAAATAATGAACTTTTGTGTGAAGTTTTTTTTGCGCACAGAAAAAATTCGATTGCTCAAGGTAACAGTTTAAGGTTCATTACTCTGTTTTCTGGTGAAAACCTTTCTTCTTCATCATTATCTTCACTACATTTTCACATTCATTTTGCATTCTCATCTGATTTATATTCATTGAACTCAGTCGAGTTGCATTCTTGTTCAAACTTTATTGGTAAAAACTCGATCTTTGGCAAAGTTTGCGAACTTTTCTTTACAGTTGCTGGTTAAAGATAATTTTTCATGTTTCAATTGCAACTTAATTTCGAATCTTTTGGCATCTCTTTTAGAGGAACCACAAAAAATGAACCGTGAGAAGCATTCAGAGTGAACTCATTTATCTACTCCAATTGAATTGCAAGGCAAAGGTAAAAGTACATTTCCATCTAAACTGACCAAAGAAAGTCTCGGACTTTACGATTACTGGTTAAACAAAAGTTTGAAGTTGATTAATAACATTTATGGAAATTAAATTGAATTAAAAGTCTGAAAAGCAATTTGCCGCTTTTGATGAATGAACTTGAACTTTACTTTTGAAAATTATGTGTTAATCAAAAGAAGCAAAACACTTTCAGAGTTTTCTCGTTTGTCGATTCGCTAAAATGAATGACTTTTCCAACTTTTGCTTTACTAACACTTCAACAGAAGGTTCGACTTTGAATTTGCTGTTGATTTAGTATGAAATTTTGGCTACATTTGATGAATATTGAGTGAGAAAGATAGGTTTGCAATGAACGGAATAATTTGAAATATTGTTCAACTTCGTCAATTCAATGACAGATGAAGCGCAATAATGACGAGATTTATTTGGTTATTTATCGATTCATTCAAATCTTAAGCTGCAAGATGACCAATGATATAAGATTGGGACGAGAAATGCTGCTCATGGAATCATTGATAGCAGAATATTTGGTTCGAATCACTTTATTGATATCAGCTTTCAGGATAATCAAAAGCAAAATATGAAATGTTAGTAGTTGGAAACCATACGCTTCCAGCACAAAAGAGACCATACGCTTCGAGCACAAAGTGAAGGTCCAATAAAAAGAAAGAAAATTAAACCTTGATGCTGTTTCAGCACTCAACAAGTTAAAGAGGTAACTAAAGAAACATGATTCTTTTAGAAAGCAGCTAATAGATTAAAGAATAAGGAAAATTAAACTCCCGGGGCTGATCTCTCGACATTAAACAGTTTCCTAACTGCCGTGAACGCGTGAGTTAGGAAATATCTTTTGATACTCGAGATTAATGAAATCAATTAACTTATGAGCAAAATTTCCTAATAATTGCATATAGCCCGGGGTAAACATTTTGATTTGAAGATAAGATAAATCATGATGATTTATCTTATCTGATTCAGGTCTCAATAAGGTAAACAAAAATTTGTGGTTTTTTTCCAGAAAAGCACTTAAGATGATGACCGATAAGTTATCTTGATGAAGAATTAGTATATAAAGCGAGTTGGATCTTCAGATTTTATTCATTCAGTCTTCAGTCTTTTCTCTTAATACTTGGACACTTACTCTCTCCTACTCCTCTCCTCTCTCTCTCTCTCTCTCTCTCTCTCTCTCTCTCTCTTATTCATCATACAATGGCCAGCAGCGCACCAACAGCACCCTCATCACCAGCACCAACAGCACCCTCATCAACAGCAGACCCAGCAGCATCCGCATCAACACCATCGATGCAAGGATCCGCAGCCGTTGGCGACCACCCGATTAAATCCATCAAACGGCGCGGATACATGACCGTGAGTGGTGCTCGGACCCTGGTTGGCGTTGCCGAATGGGAGGACACCCTCGTCATAATGAAGGACACCAACCGGCTGGAATCCACCGCTGGTGAGGCGGATGACGCGAGGCCCCTTGGATTGCTACCCGGTGACTTTAAGCTGGTAAAAGCCTGGGATGCGGACGATGTCACCGGGTATACTCGTGGGTACACCTGCCGCTACTGTGGGATAGGCCTCAGCTGCAGGGCTAGTGGTCTCCGGCATGAGCAAAAATGCAATGCCGAAGGGGCCCCTGGTCATGTTTGCGTTGTGCCGCCGTGCACGACCGACTGTATCGGTCCATCAGTCTGGACTCGCCCGCCTGATGGCCGATCCGACAGAGCTGCACGAGCTCAAGGCAAAAAATAAGTTTTGTAGCATTTACAAAATGTATTATTAATGCTTTTGATAATTAAAATGAATAATTTTGGAAACTTATTTTGCTTCTCTTTTTTTATATTTCGGTAAAAGCGGTCAATTATCAGGTAAGTACAACGCGTTTTGAATCACAAAACCAACTATATATATATAAAAAATCCAAAAAAATTTTTCATTTTTTTACAAGTTTTACCATGCATTCTCTATGGG